GATATAAAACCATTATTTTATATTTTAATAACATTTTGCAAGATTTTTTTTTTTTTTTTTTTTTCTGTATTTTTGATCAAATAAATGCAGTCTTGATGAGCAGAAGAGACTTCTTTAAAACACATTAAAAGTCTTATTGATCCCAAACTTTTGACCGGTAGTGTATATAAAAGAATAGAATAGGTTTCCATAATCATAAAAACGGAGTGTGAAGGTCTGTTCATGATGGTTTTAAAAGTTTATGCCAAGACTCAAAAGTGGAGGCCTGTGGTAATAATTTTTTTAATCAGCATGGTTTTATTAATTAGCATGGTATAATAAATGTGCAAAACTGTTATAGTATTATCTGTTGAAAAATAAATGCCATTGCATGTGCTTTTAATACAGACATCACATATAAATACAATTTTTTAAATTTTCTAACAAAAAAAACACACGCAAAAGCCAAATTTAAAGTCAGACTGTCCCCAAGCAAGTCCAGATTATTTCAGCAGCACTGCATCTTGCTGTCTTTGTGTTTTTAATTGCAAAGCCCTTCAGAGGCAAACCCGCGTGCCAAACCCAGGTAACCCTTCAGAGACGTCTTCAGTGTTTATCACCGCATGCACAACAATGAGCTCTGCAGATGTGAGCGAGCCATTAGCTGAACTGTCTGAGACGCAATGGGAAATGTGTCATAATGCTAGTCAAATGGGCAGACCAATCCATGCTTCATTTGAAAACATTTGGCATGTTCTTCTATAAAGCCTCGTGCTTTTGAAATGAAACTGAAGTGCTCTCAATTACAATCTGAAAAGACAACCTTTCTCTGAATCGACACATTAGGTTCCCTAAAACGTGTGCCGTACAGAGCCTGCTCTAATGGCCATTAGCAGAACTGATGCATTTTTCCATCAACATAATAATACGAATAATACGCCTGTTGCTTGTTACACAGAATTAAGCATTACCTTCATCTGGACGTCCCTTTGAAATGCTATTAATTGAGAAATTCTCACTGTCGCCTCTTCAAAGGATAAACGCCTAAAGTATTTTTTTCATCCCTAAAACAATAGCGTTTTCACAGAGGCTTCAGCGAAGTGCTCTTTACCGGGTCAGACCACATTGTACGTGGACAAAATGATGGAAAAAACGGCAAGCATACTCTACGCTAGTGCAATTAGCCACTGAGGAATTAATACAACTTAAATGAGTCCCATTTAGGTTGAGCATTAGCAGGCCATACTCTAGTCAAAACACAAATAGTGTAACACAAAAAGAGAGAAATAATGGCAAAATCCATTTGTATGTTTTATCAGCAATAGTTTAAATATAAAAACTAAAGATATTTAGGATAGTGGAAGGATGCAGTTCTTAGTGATTAGTGAATTAATAATTTTATCAGTGTTCCTTTGTGCTTGTTTCACTCTTCTGCAGTGAGAAAAATATTATTTTGGTGAATAATATATATATATATATATATATATATATATATATATATATATATATATATATATATATAGTTTTAGTTCTTTTATTAAATCAAGTTAAGCTAAATGAAAATGAGTACCATTGCCTTGGCAACTAGCTGAAATAAAAATAAATAAATATATATATATTTTTTTATTTCTGTTAACGTTTATTTTATTTCAAGTAAAAAGAATGTTTATGGTTTTAGTTAACCACGATAACCCTGGTTTGGACACACCTCATTTTTTAATCTACACTATTTTCCATATGTTAGAATAATAGTAAAGTGATAAAAACTCTGAAATGGCACAAATGGGAATGATGTATTGACTGAAACGTGACAAAATGAAGCATTTGCTATATTTGAGCTTCTTCTTCGTCTAGATTCCAGCTCTGTAATTCACATGTTTGATGCATACTTGTTTATAAAGTATGCATTATTATTTCTACATATATCTCTATTCTTTATAGTCTCTTATAGATTAGTTTGTTTGCTCATTAAAGGTAAATTTGTGAGTGCAGCTTTAAGTTTGAAGCACTACACACGAGCTTTGTTCATTTTATTGCTCGTGATGAGAAGTGTGGTTTGCAGTGGGACGTTTAGGAGACAAAGCACACTATAGCAAAAATAATGCACAGAAACATATGATGGCCTACAGGACTTCTGTTTCCGTCATGTACAGAACATGGTTTAGCCTGCGGTTAAATGTGTGACTGATCCCAGAGCTAACAGTCTTACTTCAACAGATTGTTTTAGCATGTGATTATTACTGAAACAATTAAGAAAGAAAAGAGAAAGAAAGGTGTCAAAGTTTGAAACTGCAGACTGATTGTCCTCGTTTAGAGGCTGGATGTTGCTGAGCTGCACGTCTTACACGGTCTCAGCCTGAGGGGTTCAGAAAAGCTTTGGTCAGTGACCCGGTTAGTCACAAGAATGCCCCGCCGAGCGGCTGCAAAGATCCTGAGGAATTCAAAGACTTCAGACACGCTCAAAACCAACTACATATAGACATACATAAGTATGGGAACTCTGCAGTGACAATAATAAATGAATGAATTAAAAAAAAGGACATAAATAAATATATTAATTAATTGATAATAATAACAATAATATAAAAAAATAACAACAACAACAATAAATGTAAATGGACATATACATATATATATATGTGTGTGAGCCTGCAGCACAAAAGCAGTGTTAAGTCGCTGGGGGATATTTGTAGCAATAGCCAACAATACATTGTATGGGTCACAATTATACATTTCTCTTTTATGCCAAAAATCATTAGGATATTAAGTAAAGATCATGTTCCATGAAGATATTTTGTAAATTTCCTACCGTAAATATATCAAAACTTCATTTTTGATTAGTAATATGCATTGCTAAAGACTTAATTCGGACAGCTTTAAAGATGATTTTTTCAATATTTAGATTTTTTTGCACGCTCAGATTCCAGATTTTCAAATAGTTGTATCTCGGCCAAATATTGTCCGATCATAACTTATTTATTCAGCTTTCAAGATGTATAAATCTCAATTTCGAAAAATTATGACTGGTTTGTGGTCCAGGGTCACACACACACACACACACACACACACACACACACACACACACACACACACACATATATATATATATATATATAACTTATATAAGTTTGTTAGGCTTAAAATGATCAAATAAAAGATAAAGTGTTGAAAATTAAGATTAATATAACATTTTGTAGTTTTTAATTTAATGCAATGTCATTCATATATCAGTGTTGTGTGTACTTTTTATTAATAAAAATTAAAGGAAATAAAATATCAATATTAGACACAAAAATGTTATCTTAAAAAACACCACATTACAAAATTACTAAAATTAAAATTAAAACAAAAAAAATATATTTTTTAAATATATACAAAAATAAAAATATAAAAATAAAAGCCAAATAAAAATATCATTTAATACTATAATAGTATATGAACAATACTAAAATAACACTGTCATATATTAAATGTGATTCAAGCATCCAAATCTTTTTCTTTTTTTTTGGGGTGTGAAATATAAAAAATAAATCAGTAAAAAATAAAATAAAAAAATACAAGCGAACTCAAACATTACTAAATAGTATATAAATAATACTAAAATAACACTGTAATGCATTAAATGAGATTCAAGGGTCCAAATACTTTTTTAGGGGCTGAAATACTAAAATTAATAAAACTTAATAAAAATAAAGCTAAATAGTAATATGAGACCATAAAAATAATCAAACAACATTACTAAAACTTAAAAGTTTTAATTGAAAATATAAAAATAAAAGCTAATTCAAACATCAATAAATACTATAATAAGTGCATAAATAATCCAAAAATAACAGTGCAATACTTTAAATGTGATTTAAGTGTCCAAACACTTTTTTAGGTCTTTAGGTTTTCTTTTTGTCCTGACTGAAACTGAATCATATGAGTTATGCATAGGAATATTTCTCAGAAACGAATTTCATCAGTTCATCAGATGGAAACCCACATACATTTCGCCAGGAGTGTGATAACATGAAACTGTTTTATCGGCTCTAGATGAGTTGAATCCATTGAGGAACGTTTCCTCAGGGCTTTAGTGCAACAAATAGTTTCTGTGTCAGGTGACTACCACGAGACGGCCGTAATAATCCTCCCATGTTCCACTTGGCCAGAGCATATAAAGCACTGATGGGCTTGAGCTCTGTGAATATGCATGTGATGTGTGGACACAAGCTATTATAGACCGTCAGCCGTTACCGATACACTCAGAACCGCATGTAATCCTTAAAAACACATTTATTTGTGATTAGTAGCGTGCTGCGGCATTTGAGGGAGAAACTGAGAAACTTAAAGCAAACTGAATAAGATCCTCCAGATATGAGGAGGTCGATTGTGTTGGCTGTGATTTACAGTCTGGGATGGACTTACCTGACCGAGGCTCAGTTTCCCCGAGTCTGCTGCACCGTGGAGGCCATCGTGTCCAAAGAGTGCTGTCCCGCGCTGGGATCGGATCCGGACAATGTGTGCGGGATTCTGTCCGGCCGGGGAAACTGCAGCGATGTCCATGTGGACTCCAAACCCTGGGGAGGACCGTACAGGTTAAGAAACGTGGACGACCGCGAGAGATGGCCGACTAAGTTTTTCAATCGGACCTGTCGATGCTTTGGTATGTAAAAAATAATAATAGTATGACTTTCTGACAAATTGTAGAACTTGTTATGGCTGTTTGCATACTTATTCAGGTTATTCTGTATGACATACCTAGATATCAACCTGAAATATATCACATATACCTATATATATATTAGAAATTAATAAAAATAGATATATGTAGTGACAAAATATATATTAACATATATATAATTTTATATTTATAATTTTGTAAATTATAAATATATATATATATATAGTGTGTGTGTGTGTGTGTGTGTGTGTGTGTGTGTATATATATATACACACATACAATTATATAAATTAGAAAATATAAATATGTTTTAATTATTAATTATTAAATTTATATTTAAATATGTTGGAAGTATGGAAGTATGGGAGCTATGTAGTGACAAAATATATATTAGAATGTATACATAATTTTATAATTTATATATAATTTTCTATTAAATTTTTTTTAATTATATATATTTTTAAATGTTTTATATATTATATATTTAAAATATATCTATTTTATAATACAAATGATATTAAAATATATATATATTTAATGTATATAATACAAATGCACAACATAATTATTCATACACACACACACACATATATATAAATAATTTTCTATATTTAATATTTAGAATTTAACAAATTAATTTAATTATAACTTACATTTTTTAATTTTAACTTTAATTTTAACTTTAATTTAAATAATTTTTAAATTGAAATTTAACCTTTTAACAACATAATTTCAATCAAGTGTGTCCCAATTTTTGACTTGTAGTGTAAAAATCCCATATCCTTTTATTAAAGAAGGGCAGAGACTGATCTGAATATCACAGGGACACTTTAGCAACTGCACGCCTCTAAAACTACACTGAACTTAAAACACATTCTCTTCTGAACAGGTAACTTTGCTGGTTATAACTGTGGCGAGTGTAGATTCGGCTGGACGGGGCTGAGCTGTGACCAGCGCAAAGCTCCCGTTGTGAGGAAGGACATTCACTCTCTGAGCCCCGCTGAGCTGCAGGAGTTCCTGGACGTTCTGGATCGGGCCAAAACCACCGTCCACCCTGAATACGTCATCGCCACACAGCACTGGCTGGGCCTGCTGGGACCCAACGGCACCGAGCCGCAGTTCAACAACATCTCCATCTACGACTTCTTCGTCTGGCAGCACTATTACTCTGTCCGAGACACATTACTGGGTGAGGAGCTGTGAACGCAGGACTCACACTGGTCCATAAGATAGATTAAACGATGAAAATTCCTCTGAGAATGAGTGAAAAGAAAAACATTACAAAGTCACTTCTTAGGGATTTCAGAACGGTGAAAAACTTTCATGCCTTTTCATTTTTCTCCATCATTGAGGCAATATTTTAGTCACTATTATTCAACCCTATGATTTCGGTAGAGATGTACAATTAATCAAATCACAATATGGATTAGTGTCTGTGAATATTAAAGTGCAAAATATATATTATGTTTTAATTTTAACAGTAAGTCTCTGTCGTGCAGCATTTTGTTTACCAAAAAATAGAAGGAATTGTTCAAATTTTAATTTCATTACATTTTAAAAGATTAATTATTACTTTTTTATGCCCTCATTTGATTACCATCATTTCTGATCATATATTTTTATTAAATAATAAATTCAGAAAAATTACAACAGACAACACAGAATTTCTAGGAAGACAAAAAAATGCATTGGACTCTATTATTGTAAAAAATGGTAATTAATTATTAAATGGTTAAAGTTTAAAGAATTCAATTGATTAGACATGCTTTTTGATTATTAAAAATGATTAAACCCATTAAATCCAGAAAAATGTAAACTGAAAAATTGAATTTGGGAAAGACAAATCAGAATTTGGAAAACAAATAAAACAGATTTCATTGGGCCCTAAAAATTTTATTTTTGTTAAACTTTTGATAAATTCTTAAAAAAAAATAAAACAGATACCATCTGCTCAGTCTGGAGAGAGAGCTGCAGGTCAGATCAAGCCTTCTCTGTTTCACACTGTATTTCTAATCATCATCTAATCATCTGGAGGCCCTCGTGACAAGAGGTCAATGGAGATTTTGCACATAGTGACTAAATCAATAACTTCTGAACACAATGTCCAAACTAAAGGAAACTAAGCGTTAGGACAGAGATGCCAAAGACTAGGGGGCCAGAAATGAAAGGCAAGAAAGCAAACTCATTTAAGGGCCGTAAGCTGAATGTAAATGCTGCATTATATCCAACTATATGTGACTCTGGAGCACAAAAGCAGTGTTAAGTCGCTGGGGGATATTTGTAGCAATAGCCAACAATACATTGTATGGGTCACAATTATACATTTTTCTTTTATGCCCAAAATCATTAGGATATTAAGTAAAGAGTGTAACGTAATGTTTGATTAGTAATATGCATTGCTAAAGACTTAATTTGGACAACTTTAAAGATGATTTTCTCAATATTTAGATTTTTTTGCACCCTCAGATTCCAGATTTTCAAATAGTTGTATCTCGGACAAATATTGTCCGATCCTAACAAACCATACATCAATGGAAAGATTATGTATTCAGCTTTCATATGATGTACACATTTCAATTTTGAAAAATGTACCCTTATTTGACTGGTTTTGTGCTCCAGGGTCACATATTATATTAAAATGCATGATCTTTGATTTGTCCTCTCATGCTTTATCGCAAGAGCGGATGTTAACATTTTAATTTGTATTGAAATGTTGATAATATAAGTGAGT